CAGGCAGACACAAAGTAATAAACACCCCCGTGTAGGTTTTTGCCAGTTCTAATTGGGACATTGGCATCAAAAGTGAACTTTATCCACTCAGCTCATCTGTCCTCTAAGCCTGGAGGCTCTCGAAGCAATTTATGCTGGTCTGTGCAGGCAGCGACAGAGCAGTTCCCGTGCTCAGCTCTCAGCTTCAACATAGTGCTACAGGGGTCTTGTACTTGTGAGAAAAAGATGCTGTATCTTCGCAAAGGTAGCTCTCAATCCATGTTTGGAGAGGCCCAGATGGGGGGGGGCAGTATATTTCTAATGAGTCCTCACTTGATGTAGGAGGGGAGGTCAAAAGAACTTGTTGAATCACATTTTCTAAGCTCCACAGCTCACAGAAAACAGACTGGGTTGTCTTATTTCACAGTTTGTGGGTTGACAGGTACATCAGAGACCCAAATGTACGTGCACAAGCACTGGAAAAGAAAGGTTTATTTTGTAATATGTCCCCTTTAAAGCAGCTTTCTGCTCACACTGGCAGTGGATTAATTAATTAATAAAATTGTGTCGAAGGGGAAAGGTGATCAAAAGCCAACCTAAATAGACAGCATGTCGTCAGTCATATATAGCTTATAAAGAGCTTTCTCTTTGCTGGTATTTCTATGCAAACAAGTGCATGCAGTATGTTAGATTATTAACATTTACATGTTGTGCCCTTAAGAAGTCCTGAGCTCATGTCATCTGACCATGTCATTAATTATAAGTCTTTGTTGCCCCAAGATATTTTCATGTTATTAGCACTGCGTCATTCAAATATCACCCTGTACAAGCTTACAAACACTTTAATGTTTCTCAAATGGTAAATCGTAGAAAACACAGAGACTAATGAGTTGATACAAGGTCAGTCAGGGAGAGTGATGCAGTTTCTGCAAAGGTTAGACACAATGCAGCTGTAGGCCTGATTAACACAGTCAGTATCATGATGAAAAGTTATTGTGTTGGTTTTTCCCTTTACACGTTCTCCAAAATACATTTCTAACCAATGCAGCACTGTTTTCTGTTTTTTTCATGTTTAAAAGAAGTAATACAAAGGTTCTGTTCATAATTTTGTCAGATTTTTATTTTGTTTTTTTAATACTGTGGTTATGTTTTTTTTTGGTTTATTCAGATAACGAATTGTGCCTTTAAATATCACGTGCTTCACTTACTACTGCATATTTGTGACTTTTGACTTTTGTTTGAGCTCTACAAACATTGAAGGTTTTAGCGCAGCAAAACGTAAGCTCTCTGTAAATGACAACGTGTCCCTCTGGTGAAAGACTGAGGCCTGGGCTGCCTCCTCTGCCTCGCTATCACAGGAGATACTGTACAGTAGCAATCAATAGCACTGAGCAAGCATCAGAGTTTTTATTATCTACAAGGCCCTGACTCTATCCACCACTGTAGTGACTAATCTAATTGGAGCTGACACAGACTCCCCAGCTGTGCTGTGCTGCCAAAGACAGAGAGAAGACAGAGATGTCAGGGAGATCTTCATAAATCAATAGTCAGTCACAGACAATTTTTCTTCCTTCTATCCATTCATGCATCCACAGCCTCTGTCTAAAATAGTGTACTTCGCCTGCTCCTCTCACAAGTCATCACGTCACTTCTAACAGCTGAAACCATTGTTTCTATTTTCTCCTGCACATACTATAGTAAGCCCGTTCAATGGTCTGCATCCACCCTGCTTTTAAACTAGGCCGAGAGACTATATGTGGAAAGTATACCACTGGTGCTATCAAGCCCACAGATTCTCCACAAGACTCAGCAACAGACTCACATTTAGAAGTATGACTCAACGAGGGCAGCGCAGGGTGCACATGCTCTAATGTTTTGGACTAAAGTTGGAATATCTGTGAGAAAAATCTCCCCAGAAAACTGCGATGAAAGCCTGTTATTCATGGCAGTAGAAATTGGGAATAATATTGTGAGTGAGAATATTATAGCTACTTTACTCTGACATCCATCCTGGCTGGAAAAGATGGAGAAGCTTTCGTACCGAGCAGACAGTGTTAATTACGCAAGTATGAATTATTCAGCCCCTAAACGATTCAGTGAAATATAAATGCCTCCGGTCAATAGTTGCCAACACTTGAGAAGACTTTGGACTCCCTCTGGGGGGATTCCAGAGCCAGTGATGGGCTGCACCTTATATGCCAGACCACAAAATGACACCAGAGTTAAATCTTCAGCTGGCACGCTGAATCAGCGCCCTTCACCACTGATTGCATCATCGTCTTGAGTATTGATTGACCATATTGAGTGATTAGGAAAGTGTCTGAGGACTAAAAAGAAAAAGTCTTTACAGTTTGTATACACTCAGGTGATCTTCAACCTGACTAAATATATCTTTTTATATGTTTATTCTCATGTAAAACTAGGAAGGATCGGTATACACATAAGCCATAGTGTTTAATAGCAAGTTGTTATAAACCAGAGGATGTCCAAACTTGGTTCAGAATAACTGGATTCTTTTGAGTCTCGTCTCAGACGCACATCCAAAAAAAAAAAACTAGCTCTAAACTAACTGTGAAATGACAAACCCTGAGATAAGAAACTCAGAGTTTACGATTCCAGAGCAGCTGGTCACAGTCCTTTCAATCATCTCTGAGTACGTCCACTCTGAGCTGAGCACGCACTTGGTGAATGAAAAAAGCCATCATCAGTTCAAGATCCGATACTACAGTTCACCATGGCAACAGGTAAATAAAGAGCAGAGCCTCCATTTTAATCCAGTTGAGCTGAAATATGAATGTGTGACAATGGTGCACATTAACATAGGAAAAGAATCAGCGAAAGAGCTCAATGAGTTAACACCTCAGACTGGGATTAACATTTTACACTCATTCATCATTCAGCACACTTAGATTTCCTAAACTACTGGAATCTGACTGTATACGATACATTGAATGTTTAAATATATTCAGCTGTAACTGGAAGCAAATCAGAGATGCGTTCATTGACTTGTGATTGTGACCTAAAGGTCTGACAGTAATCATGATTTTGAATAGTTACAGCTGAAAAGGCATCTAGGATAAAACTGACTACAGTTTGACAAACAGTGAATATAGTCAGTGGAATCGCTAAAACAAGTTAAACCTATTTGTTGTCTCTATTCAAAAGCTCTTTTCAGCTGCACTCAGAAATATTATGATGAAATCATAAGAAATATGATAATGACAAATGATTATTCATGGAGTCATGTTGATGTAGCTTCAAAGCTTAACACAATTTGTGTTGTTGTATTTAAAGTGTTCGTGGTAAAATGACCGGACTGACAAACTGCAATTGTCCATAGAGTCACAGAGCTTTCACTAAACCTGCTTTCTTTCAGCCCAGGTGGGACTTAAACATCTCTGACAGATACAAAAATCTGTCAAACTTTCATATGATTTTTTATCGTCCTGTCCGTCACACATTTGTGATTGTTTGCTGGACTGGTTTGAAAATAAAGAGGAAACTTATAGTAAAATACCTTTACACTATACTGTATTCTATACTCACACCTTTACTACTTTGTTTGCTTCAACCGACAGAGCTGTTGGTGGTGTTTGATGTCTTTGGCTTCAAGGCTCTGCAGCAATGAAACATGTGATGGGATACATGATCCTATTACCAGACTGTGGCTGCATTTACTGAGGTGTATGTGCGCCATCTTGTGGTGTAAAGTTCAAAGTACATCTTCATATTTCTTGGGCCTGGTCACCAGAGTCCTGGAGAAAATTATCCCAAAAAGAATGCAGACTAAAGTCGGACTGATTTATTGTCACAATGTTGTTTTTTTTTTGTTTGTTTTTTTTTACTTTAGCCAACTGCTTGTGCATCAGTGAGAACCGGCACTGAGACACAGACACATTCTACAATAAATACTGACAGGATGGCTTTAATGTTCACAGCCAAAGAGGTACATCTGTACAGCACATAGACACAAGAGTTTAATTTTTTAAAAACAACACTGTCACAAACTAAACAGAACTGTTATATGCATAATATAAATATGAAAGGTGGATTGCTGTACGTGCTATTCTAATACAGCATTTAAAAAACAACAACAAAAACAAAAAAAACATACTAAATATAATTTTAAAATCTCATACATTGACAACAAATCTTCTCCAGATCAATCTATCCTGAGGTTTACATGTAAATGAGTAAAACAAATGTGATGACAAAATCAATTAATTGTCCTAATCATCCATCCATCCATTATCTATACACCGCTTAATCCTCACTAGGGTCACGGGGGGCTGGAGTCTATCCCAGCTGACTTAGGGTGAAGGCAGGAGACACCCTGGACAGGTCACCAGTCTATCACAGGGCTACACTTAGAGACAGACAACCAAGCACACTCACATTCACACCTACGGACAATTTAGAATCACCAATTAACCTCAACATGTTTTTGGACTGTGTGGGAGGAAGCCGGAGAACCCGGAGAGAACTCACGCTGCACGGGGAGAACATGCAAACTCCACGCAAAAACATTCCGGTGCCCCCACCGGGACGCGAACCGGCAACCTTCTTGCTGGGAGGCAACAGTGCTACCAACTGCGCCACCCTGCAGCCCTGTCCTAATTATAATATAGTAATTATCAGGGCAGAGTATTGGTCCTGATTTGACCTAGTTAGCAGACGGGAACATTGGCTCAACCTGGGAACTGTCCTAGGACAAGAGGTGAAATCAGGGCATAAGTCATAACAGGCAGACGTTTACTTTTTTAAAGCCCCATTTTGAACTGAACATTGCAATCTTTTTAACTTTGATCTAACCGGTCTGACTAACTGGTTAATCCTCCGTTCTTTTATTCCACAGTGTTTGATGATTAGCTAATAAACATATATGTAGTCCAGAGGAAATCCCCAGTGGCCTTTTTGTGCGTGTTGATGTTGACACACTAGTTTTTCTAGAATGTGTTTTTCTCTGAACAAACACAACTAATTGTGAGTCATGTGCAAACACACATTTGTACTTTGGAGTGATGGTCCAGTGTGTTTCTGTCAGGATGTCACAGAAGTCTGGAATGGCACTCGTCTCTTTGTTTCTTTTGTTTTTGGACTTTCAGCTGGGCTCAGGAGGTATTTTGAGATTTTCTGTGATGCTTGTAAAAATAATGACTGTCCAGCTTGAGGGGTTTATTTTAGTTGTAAAGCTTTCCCAGTCTTACTTACTTCTTGTGGTGTTGTAAGTAGATGTGACAAGTACTTTTTATTTAGTCATATAAAAACAGAATACCTCTAATCTATGTATTTGCTGTCGAGACACTGTATTCTGTCCCTTCGCTCCACTCCAGCCCCTGCTCCAGCTGCAGGCCCAGTGTTTCTCTCCGGTCAGGCTGCCGACAGCGTTCTGCGGAGACACAAACGTTATAACACTGGTGTGTTTGAGGAGCTGCTGCAGGGCAACTTGGAAAGAGAGTGTATAGAGGAAGTATGTGACCTGGAAGAAGCAAGAGAGACATTTGAGAATGATGAAAAGACTGTGAGTATTTGTTTATTTTAGTAGTGTTTTCCACATATTATCTTCTTTGCTGGCTGTATTTATCAGTGGCATTACTCTGTATTGTAGATGGAGTTCTGGGCAGGATATGTAGGTATGTAATGACTTTTTCTTGGAGCAATTTTGTCAGACTTGCTTTTATGTAAAGAATCTCACAATGTTATGAGATGACTGTGTTTGCGTTTCCTCAGATGGAAATCAGTGTAAACCAAACCCATGTCTGAACGAGGGGTCATGTAAAGACCAAGTTGGCGACTACACTTGCACATGTGTGTCTGGATTCACTGGCAGGAACTGTGAGATTGGTAAGTGAATGTCCAGTGGCTGGATATAAAAATGGGATCAAACTAAATTGTTTTTTGTTGGGCTTTTTTTCGCTACACGACCTACATTTTCTGAGAATATGATATCACACCTGATCAGATCACAGTCTCAAAGGATCAACAGCCAGATGCCTTTTTTTTTGTTCTCCTTCTTGCTAAATTCAATCAGTAGCTCACATCCAGCGTCTGTCTGGTTTTAGATTCCAAAATTAGATTGTTTTTCTTTTATGGATATTCTAAAAACAGCAGTTGAAATGCCCTCTCTGTGAGCAGCATTTACCTGAAATACACTTTTTGTAACACAGAGTTGGTACCTTTGAAAGAAAGTTTTTTTTTCACGTCCGTCCTAAAATGACAATCACATGCCCATAGGGCAGTGAAACAAAAAGTGCTTGCTAGAATTATTCCTCCTGTACACACCGGTTAGTAAGAGATCCATTCCAAATGTGTTTCCAGTCGATGTGATTGTAGACATACTCCATAGTTCAGCAAGTTCTGCACAAAAAAACATGGATGTTCAGAAGAAAATACAAGCCTCTCAGTATGTGGATGTCCCCCAGAGTTACGGTTCTTTCTTTGTGTAACTGTGATATTAGAAAAAGGGACTCTTTGTACATTTATTTCATCAGACAGGTACATAGGAATGTATGAGCCTTACCAAAAGTTTCACATTCACTCCCACACTGTTGTAAAATACATTTAGGTCTCCAGAATACGTGTAGCATGAATATACGCATTAAACTGGTACATTGGTTAATGAGCCTGCCAACTTATGTGTATATTCATGTATTTATTACACTGTCTGGTACTGGACAATGAACCTCAACAGTTTAGAAAGTGTGCAGAAGTCTATTTGAAAGTTTTGTAACTGTCCCTTCACCACAACTCAGTGAGTGTTAGAAAAACGTGAGGAGAAGCATTTTGTCCTCAAAAAAGACTGTCATTTCTGGAGACACCCACTCGATTTACCTTCTCATCTTAAAGCCTCTTTCTAACTTCAGAAAAACTGTTGATTTTGTCTTTATCGCTTACACTTTGAACAGCATTTTAACAACTGCAAAACCTGTATCCTGTCCTCATATAGTGCAGGTGACAAAACAGCACAGCGCTGGATCTTGATGACATGTCATTTAACATATTTATTCAGAAGATAGTTTTGAATTAATTATGTGTTTTTCTTTCAGTTGTAGCAAGAAGATGTGATGTTAATAACGGAGACTGTATGCATTTCTGTGAATCAATGGGAACCTTTGGGGCGAAATGCTCCTGTGCGACAGGATACAAGCTGATGCAGGATGGAGTCAGCTGTGAAGCAGAAGGTATCTGTGTATTCTTAATGAATTTTCATCTAAATATCATAGCAATGACTCTAAATCCTCTTTTGTCACATCAACAGTTGAATTCCCGTGTGGCAGAACAGCCCTGAAAACGGCAAGCACAGTATTTACAAGGTCTTTGTTCAACTATGGGAATTCCAGCCTACAGAACAACACTTCACTGACCACCACCACCACATCCCCTCCCTCGACTCTGGCCGCGAGCGCTGAGGATTACCAGGCCACAAATGATACCGAGGTCGACACGGCGTTCTTCTTTCTGCAGCCATCTCGGCCTTTTAAACGCATCGTCGGTGGTCAGGAGGTGGTTCCAGGAGAAATCCCATGGCAGGTAATGTGTGCAGGTTCAAGAGTCTAATGCAAGCAGGGAGAATGTTAGAGAGAGCCCACGAGGGAAAAGGAACAACTGTAATATGTTCAATTTCCTGCAGGTATTCAAAGCTCTTTTCTCCCTCTTTTATTCAGGTAGCCTTAGTGGCACGCTCCAGCGGTCAGTTATTCTGTGGGGGCTCCATTCTCAGCGAACGCTGGATTATTACTGCTGCTCATTGCCTGGTGGAGGCAGGAGGCTCTTTCTCAATCAGAGTGGGTAAGATTCACAGCAGACACATGATAAGAAAGCTCTGTTTGAAGTGGAGTGTGAGCACTAGCTACTTTGATGACTGATAAATGATTTAAATCAAGCAAATAAAAAAGATACCTAAAAATATCTGGTTTTAGTTTCCCAGTTGTGTAATTTGTTGCATTTCTTCATCTTGTGTGATAGAAACTGAACAGCTTTGGGTTTTGGTCTCCTTCAGTTAACGTCATTGTTTGTACTAGACCTTTTCATCATTTCTTGAATTTTTTAGGCCAATTAATTAATTACTTATTTAATTAATCTAGAAAATAATTAGCAGATTATTAGATAATAATAGCTTGCTATTGGAGTCCTGGTGTAGTTATTTGTATCAGACTGTTTCTTGTATCTATTTAAACTTTGAATTCACACAATAATTCCTTTGCAATCTACTCTTGTGCATCCATTTTGTGTGTTTTATTGTAAAGTAAAACAGGGAATCAATAATATGTGATAACTCTGACTACAGGGGAGCATAACATCCATATCAACGAGGGCACAGAGCAGGATTATGACGTGTTGGAGCAGCACGTACACCCACGCTACAACGCTACTGTGAGCCTGTACAACCACGACATCGCCCTGATCTATCTCAAAACCTCCATCACCTTCTCCACAACAGTGCGACCCGTCTGCATAGGGCCCAAGGCTTTCACCGAGGCCTTGGTGAAGGGCTCCTCCCCGGCCACAGTCAGCGGCTGGGGGCGAACACGCTTCCTCGGAGCCACGGCCAGCACCCTGCAGAAAGTCGAGGTTCCCTTCACAGATCGGACAGAGTGTAAACACAGCAGCAGCGCCAGGATCACTTCTGTCATGTTCTGCGCAGGATACTATGACGAGGCCAAAGACGCCTGTCAGGGCGACAGCGGAGGTCCTCACACAAACAGCATTCATGACACATGGTTCCTGACAGGCATCGTGAGCTGGGGGGAGGAATGTGCCAAAGAGGGGAAATATGGCGTGTACACCCGGCTGTCTCTTTATTACCGCTGGATAAACCATGTGATGGGATTAACCAAACACAGGCTGGCAGTTGATTTGGAAGATCCTGACCCTTAAGTTTAAAGATTAGAGATTTTGAAAATACAGATGTATTGCATGTCAAATACAGTATATGTTAAAAAAAAAATGGCAAGCTATTTTTACTTGTGTGCTAAAAGAATTGGAAGCCAGTGGAATCTGAACACACAACTGGAAGGTCTAAAATCTGCAAAAAGCAACAGACCCATACAAGTCTAACATGATCTTTTTGAAGAAACTGACAAACCTGAGCAGTAGGGCTTCTACTTTTTGCTTTAAAGAAGATGTCCAAAAAAACCCAGAACCTGTGTAATTAACATTGATTGAATCAATTCCAAAATACAAATTACCCACAAAAGCAAAATACGTCATAAAGAATACATGGCAAAATTTTTATATATGAATATGTGTATAAAATTTCAAAGATACTTTCATGATTTAGTATGTTCTTTTATACTATGTTGAATAAAAAGTACAAAAACACCGAATTCAATGCACTGACTGTGTACAGTTTCTTAAAACACATCGCTTCCATCTGCTGCTGAGGAAATCTTTCTCAACTAGTGCTATTTAATGTCAAGGAATCAAAGACGACCTCTGAAAACCCAGGCTTCAAATTATATATGACCAAAAGCTCTCAAGAAGAGAAGAGTCTGCATAAGTTTATTACATAAGCCAACTTCCAGTGAAACGACAGCGCAGAAATAATTGATTAAATCAGAGTGTGTGAAAAAGATTAGCCTTAGTTTTCAGCCAAACACATCACCATGTGAAAACAACAGTTATTTCCATTATTTAACAAAAAACAAAACAAAACAAAAAAAACAATTATTGCAATAAATACCTTATTTTCATTGGATTGTTTTTAACAAACTTAACCAAAGTTGTACAAAAAAAATAAATAAATAAAAGCGAGTGTCGAGCAGTGACTGCTCTGTGTGCAGTTGCCATGCATTTTCATGAAAAGAAAAGTTCAGCAACAAGCTTAGGCTACTTGGCTCATTGGGATACATCATATTTCAAGCAGTTTTTTTTTTTGTTTTGTTTTCCAACCTGGAAAATCTGTGCAAATTCTGCAGCATTTTGGATTGAAGTGACAAAGAAACCATGTGATTGTGTCGTATAGGCCAAAAGGAAAAATAAAGGGGGTTGCTGTAGCAGAGTCAAGCATAGCTCCTGTAAATATATGGAGACATAATTTCATTTGGGACTACACAGATACCTCACAATATGAAGGAACAACATGACAGCAAAATAAATAAATTAACAACATAGGAAATACGTAGTGTGCAGCGGTCCCTGCTGCTTTCTTGACTCATTTCCATATCAAACGCAGCGTATCAAAGGCAGCCTTCAGACCGGGGCCTCAATTTGATGTGGTAAATTCATATAAGCCTGCAATCAATATTTAATTAAGTGTTCGACACAGAGGGTATATTTCATGTTGGCTGTATGATCCCTTTTAATGGGGAGCCCGAGATTAACTGAGCTGTAATGCTGAGGAGGAAACAATCTGCCTCAGCGATGAAGGCGTACACACCGCATCATCTTTCTCTCCCTCACTTTCCTGTGATTGACTGACAGGCGGCTCCCAAAAGATCCTGAAGAAAAATGACAGTATTTTGCGCTCGGTGGCACACGCCTCCCATTTGTCTACGGCACACACAGAGGAATACGTTGCCATCAATCTTCATCATGTCCGTCTGTGTCTTACATTACCATCGCTGACATGTCAACCGCTGCCTGCACGCAGGAGGGGGGGCTGTGTCTCCCCCTGCCTTCCTAATACATCATACATTCAAGATAAACAAAGGAAACAACAGCTAGAATCAGGGGAAGTACACAGTAAGTGAGGTAAAGCAGCAAGCAAAGAACACATTCAGTAGACAATAGGTGGATTTTACCTTCTATTGTCCTTCCACCCTTGTAAAGTGCCTGTTGAACATTTGTGAGGTCAGTTTAAAGCAAGAACTGGGTATTTGATTTTGCAAACAGTACATACAAGAGACTCCAAAAGAGCAGGAATAAAAAAGGCATTATGGCATGGCACATTTTGGCATTTTAACTCCCAGACTGTACAGAAGAGTGGTGCCGAAAGAACGAGATATAAGAAAAATACAATGTAGTAGTTCGATGGAAAAATGTCAACTAACTAACACAGAAGGTGAGACACTGAGGTACAAGTAAATGTTAAAAATTATACCCTTTATGTACAACAATCTCCGTTTTAAGAAATGTTTCAGGCAAATCCTGGATTAGCATCCGTCCAGCACCAGACAAACAAACACTCAAGCACTCAGTGACACCGTAACCTCAAGTATGAGCTGGAATGAAGAGTCCACAGGTTGTGAAGTGACCCACTGCAAACTCACGTCTTGACTGCATGCGTTGCAGGTGGAGAGCCAGAGGGACAAGATATTATTCACTGATCAGAAAAGAGGAAGACCAAACAGGATCCAGCTGTACCAGGCCATTGATTGTCCAAACGGGGGCTATTACATCTCTTGTGCATTTGTGCTGGTGCCTCTGCACATTTTCACTATCAGGAAACTCGACGTCAGGGGATCATCAGTCAGAGCCACCAGGAGAAAAATCAGGTCTGTTGATTCCCACATTTTTCTCCTTAATGACTGAACTGTGCCGACAAAAGCAGACAGACACTGGGAGGTGAAGAGAGAGTGGCTGATAGTGCATCAGTTATGAGACAGCTATGACTCAGTCTTTGCTTTCTGTCTGTTCATCATCCACAGGTACATATTAAATTCACATTCTGTGCTTTCTTCTCTACGGGGAGCTGAGCTTTCTCGCCTTCAGGTTCCCCGGGTCTACAAGAAAACACACAGACTTTAGAGGAAGAAAATCAAAGTTTAGAAAGACGTATGACTCAACATTACACTGTCACGGAAGTCCATGTCTTTTCTTTACCCCCTAGTCTGGAGGAGTGTTCTCGGCTGCTGTCTCCTATAATCAGCTTCAGGCTGGCAGCTGCTATGAAGCCCTCCTGTCGCCGGCTCAGATTTTTCACCAGCCTTTCCACAGGGATGGAGAGAGTGTTGACATGGGGGAAGGAAAATAAGGAGAGAAGGGGAGAAACTAGATACATAAACATTGCAACCAGGTTTAGCTGTGTTTTAAGCACCTTCATAGAGCTACTTTTTCCAGACACTGTTGTCCTTCTAATGTGAATAGTTTGCCTGATCACTTGACAGAAGGGTTTACTGAACTTCATGTGTGGCTGAAAACTCACCAGCGCCCCCTGTTGTCTTCACATTGTAGTTGGATGACGTCTCCACATTTAATGGTGATGCTGTCTGGTCCATTTTGGAGACAGTCAGCTAAAGCCCTATATCTGCCTGGAGACTGACACAGAAGGAAAATTGTCAGGCACAAAGTAAGTAGAGCTGAATTTATATGGTGGACTTCTTTATAGAGCACTTTTGCAAGCTGAAGTTGCAAAGTGTGCCATGAGAACATACTGTTAAGCACAAGATATCAGACGGGAACAATGTCAACAGGCACAATGGCTACAAAATAGATTTAAATCTGAGGTCAGCCAATAAAAAAATACTTTAAAATAAATAAATAAATAAATATTTGGAAAACTAAAAGGCTATAAATGCCAGTTTGATTGGATAATTTTATTGAAAGAGATAGACTTCCAGTTATAGTTCTGATGTAAAGATACTGTAATGCAAACGTGTGCAGGTTTATATGAACACATCACCTCAGAAATATACAGTACTCGGGGGCTTAGAGTGTATAACGCCTAATAGGGCGCAAAAGAGGGAAAACTGACACTTTGTTGGAAGACTTGTACAGCATTATATAGTAACATAAATACTAATAACAACAATCTGAGTGTAAAGAAACAGAATCACTTCTTTATTTTTTGGGGGGGAAAAAAATCTGATGGGATCAAATGTGACGTCTTATTTAGTGTATGGTTAGATTATTAGTGATATCTGTGTGGTCTTTCGTTGTTTAATTGTCTGTTGTCATTGCAGAATAAAAGCATAGTGCTAATGTATGATAGTTATTAATCATCACGTTTGTTCCTGTCACATTTTTCACTCACTGTGGAATCATGTTTGCAAACAGCAAAACCACTGTTAGAAGTAGAGAAACTCAATAATATCTTCTGTCTAGTATAACTAAGTTTACATGCCATAAATGAAAAAAGATAGTAAGAAAATAATATGGATTCAACATGTACAAAATCTTTGCAAGTACCCAGAGATGTTACGGCTCTACATACTATAGATATTTTAGATTTTATTTTGTACATGCACCTCTCTCCTATTTGCTCTGTGTGAAGAATGAATGTACAGTGTGTTCAGCCTAGTTCAGCCAAATAATCTCTCAGTTTTGGACACAAGACTTTTGATTACAGCTGAGTCAAACATGGCATCTCAATTGCAACCACAGAAGTTTTTTACAGAATGTAGTTCTTACAAACTGTTTATTTTTCATGATTTTTTTCAAATGAAACTGTTTTCGGTGAAATACAATTTTAAGCATGGATTTGGTTATTTTTTTCAGAAGAACCCAGACATCACACATGGTTATTTCAAGGACTGTCAGAGAGTTGAAAATCTAAAGATTTATTTTGTTTTTCTGGCACTGATAAATAGTGAAATCTTAGCTTTTTTTTTGTTTGTTTGTTTGTTTTTTAAAGATAACATTAATTTCAAACCTGCTGGCAGGTTTTGAGCTCCAGAGGGTTAATAAAGGCAGAGTGTTCTCTATTACAACTTATAATGTACTGTATTGTACTGACGTTACTACGGTTGGTCTCACCAGTTGCACCAAAACCTCGTCCTCTGTGTCAGATGGGTGGAAGCCGTCCCGACCTCCAGGCCACTCCTCCAGACCCTCGCAGATGTCTACCGAGTGATGAGCTCCGGGCCAACCTTAGACACAGACAGGAGTTGAGCTGTTAAAGACACTGATGGACACATTCTTCAGAACATTACAACCTTAAAAGGCACCATGTAGATACTTAGTAACCACATTATAATGGCCCCTTTTGTCACTTACTGGGAAATTAACAAGAACGTGGAATCAAAAGCTAATCTCAGTAGCTGGACCTTTTTGCCCCAAATTCCTCGACGTACCTGGTTCTTCAGGTCAAAGTACACCTGAACTGCTGAGGGGGGGAAAAGTCAAATAACTACATTAGTTTATGTTTATGAAGAATATCAGCAATAGCAGTGCAACAATGTGCAAAGCAAGTGTGATTTGAATCAGTTCTCCTAAGATTTTCTCCAATTTAGTTACTAAGTATCTACTTGATTATGAGATAAACAAGTTGGGTTGAGATGGACTCACTCCTACGGTTGTGCTGGTGTTTAGGAGAGTGTGGCTGGGGGTCTGGACTGCTCCTCCCTGACTCAGTGTCCTCTGAGCTCACTGACGCTCTCTGCTGCTTGCTGTTAAAATAACACAGAACAACACTTGTCACCAAATGCTGAGACACACTCAGGATAGATGTCATCCTCAGCCATACAATCTGAGGTCAGCTTCCTGAATCTTACTCATACAAGAATAAGACGTGAGAATAGCAAAAGCTGGCCCCAGATCACTTTCAAGAACAACTCTGTCCTGTTGTTTCTCACACGGCACCAGCCAGACAGCACAGAACACACAGCAGCCATGTGCAAGCCTCTCTGGAAAAGGTGGGAAGTAGAACTTGCCGACACAGTGTCCACTCAGCATGTGTCATCACAAGGGAAGATCTGGTCTCGATTTATTAAGATCCAAATTTAGAGATTTGGTCACTTCATTAGTGGAGGCAGAATGTTTCTGGGAAGCAAATTCTTACAGATGCCTGATCAGATCTCAAAAAACGAGTCCCATCTTAAAAAGCAGCTGTCATGAAAAAAATGAAGAAAATTCATGGAATGAAACTCAAACTCTTGTTTTGTTTGCCCTTTGCATTACATGCAAAATAGCAAATCTGAGATGCAGAAATAAGAGCGGTTGTTTTTTTTGATACCATGTTAGGAAGCCATGGAGGAGCTGCTGAGACACTGGCCTCTCAACGCAGCAAGGCAGCGCGGGGATCAGTTATGAACCACAATGGAGGCTGTAAAAAGGGGGTGCAGCTGACGATCAGTATGCAAACACAGCAGCCTGGAGGGGGTTTGGTTTCCCCAGGATGGGCCAGGTGGGTCATGCCAGGGTGAGGCGAGCCAGGCTGGGCCAGGCTGAGTTTACCACTGAGCGTTACGGCAGGTCAGTGGCGCTGGGGGCAGTGGCGGGGGCGCGGCCGGGGCCGTTGCCGGGGGCTTCGGGGACGGGGGCTCCGGGACCGCAGGCAGAGAAACACGTCAGCCGACAGCGAGACAAAGTCCAGCCCCGGCAGACAGCCCCTGGGAACCCCTCTGGACGGCCGCATGCCCCTGCAGGTAGGGGATGGCAGGAGTGGGGAAAGGCAACTAGACAGCAGTGAACAGAGTGGGGGGCCTGGGCCCGTCGTCACACACCGCTACACACAGAAGCCTTGTACTAGGGCAACGTGGAATGACAGTCACATTCACTCAAGCTTTTTGCACATGTAGTAGCACTGTGTGTTTTTCATATTTGTGTGTGTTTGTACGTTTGTGTGTCTACAGTCATGCGCTTAACACACTGTGACTGTGTCTGTAATCAACCAGTGGCACTGACCTCTCAGGGAGCGGCGGAGAGAGCTGCATGTGTTCGACCATTTGGCCATGTTGATATGCTTCATCTGTGTTGAGAAGAAGAGGGGCAAGGTAATGTGAGATGACATAAAGACAGTTCAGTTTCTAAACAGGATCCAGTTGTATGTTCATTCCTTCGTACTGGGAGCAGCAACTGGTTAGGAAACTGGACGCACAAAAGCTCACTTATTGGCCATGGAGCCTTTAACCACATCTCATGCTCCCTGGAGGCTGAGAGAATCGGTTTAAAGCGCTGACCTTTGTGCTCAGAATATTTGCTCGTATAACTTAAGTAGCTCACAGACCTCGAAGCAGCTTTTGCTGGTTGGTTAGAATTCTTCGGAGCTCATTGAGCCAGGCCATCTTCACCTCCACTGTAGGAGCCTGAGAGACAACAGAAACATTACAGGTTCTGCATGTATATTTCTGTCCAGCTACAATCTCACCATTTCTTCTATAAGGCATCTCCTTATAGTTCATATGATTAACCATTTGTCTACTAAAGGTCACAAAGTTGTTACAAATATTGATCACTATTTCCTACAGTGCAAATACTTTTATGATTAAGAATATGAAGCCCCATTTTTACTTAATGATCATTAGCCTAATATCAAAGCCGTTTCTGATTAAGCTTCACAGTCAGAGTAAGAAAGGACTAAACCACCGGCAACTTATTCTTACTTGGCTCTGAAAATGCTTGCATTAAACTTTGGGTTTTTTTAGACTCCTCACCTGAACCACATACACTTCCTCCCTGCCACTGTACCAGATCTCAAACTTCTTCACATCTCCCTTGACGTTCTCTGTGATCCCCACAGCAGTCATCTGCCAAGAGACATACACTGTTTACAGCGACACATACACACACAGCGTTAGGAAGAGCAGCGCAAACAGCACATTGTACATCAGAGTTACATCATGTAACACATCTGTCCTGTCACAACACAAACATTTGCACTCGCACACACATGCACACACACACACCTCCGCCGTGCAACTGCTTCCTTCCCACATTCTCAATAATAAATCAAGAGCTGCAGTCGTTGGTGTGACACCAGCTGTGACACCCTCCAACACACATGAAAAAAGAAGTGATAGAGGAATGCAACACAGGCCTGGACTATGAAACAGAATTTGGGGTTACAGGGAAAGCTATAGATTCAACTCTGGGTTTAAAGGCTACAGTGGTGATTTACTTCTCACATCACCACGGTAACCTATCCTGCTTAACTTATCCTACTTCAGAGAGGGTTATCTTGGAGATAACAGACCAATGCATACAAAAACTCTGCAATACTATTCGTTCCTGTGGAGCTTGGTGCACGGATAGTGTGTATGGAGAACCAAAAGTGCCATAAACTGCCTCTGTATGCACTCGTTATGAATTAAAACACCACTTATTATGCTGTCAAAGGCCAAAACAAGGCCACTTTTTGACAATGACGGCTGTAAAAAGCAGTGCTCATTGACTATATAGAGCTTCTTCTTTTGTTAACGTGCACTCCACAGAGTAAGAAAGCAGCATCGTAACAGTTTGTACGCTGCATTTTCTTAATATGTGCATTTAAGAAGCGATATTTTATGGCTCTTTTAGTTTTTGAAGATATGCACATAAGACTTTCTAACATTTTTTCCCCCCTAACATGCATAGATGTAGATTCTAAGTCAAGGGGAACACCAGTTTTCTGTACGTTAGTTTAGTTTTCAATTCAATTCAAATAACTTTATTCAACCCATATGGGCAATTCAAAAGCACACTGAGTAGTTCAATGTAAAATGGAGGGAAAGAAAGAAAAAATCACAATAAAACCACATAATAAATATCTTTATAAATACGTATCTAAATTGCTCATATACAGTGCAGTGCATTTGTGAAAGAGTCCAGCAATTCCATGAAGAGCTAGAGAGAAGTTCAATATAGTTCAGTTCAGAGTAACTGAGATTGGGGGTATGGGAGTGGAGGGTATGGGAGTGGAGGGTTGGGTGGGCGTCAGCAGGGAGTCAGCGGGTGAAAGATGGTTGAGCATTGAGAAGAAGAACAGCTCTGGGGACAAAAGTTGCCCTTCTCCTCTGAGTTTTTCTTCCTGATGACTGCAAAAACATTTCAGAGTCTTTTTATTGTACTGTAGGCCTTTGTATAGCCATAGAATCCTTAAACAGAGACTAATTAAAGCACTAAAGCCTCGTACTTGTTGACAATCTAAAAGTTTAAAGTAAAACTGCAGTTACTAGTTTGAATGATGTTTTTAGATTTGTACTTTACTCGCCCACAAGACAGTTTAACACTACCAGGGTTGCAGCTGAAAGAATAAGGCCAAAATTGTCTGACGCATTAAGATAAGCGGCACATTAATTGGAACATGGAATTGTAATTATAGTCAGATGTGCTTATGCTTTAATGATGGGGCAGTGATATTGATAGACCTATTACTTTACGCATACACACAATAAACAGTAACGGCAGCAGCAGCATTGCTTTCTGCCTGTGATATAATTTAAACTCCTCTTACTGGTTAAGGTAAACAGCTCTTTGCAGCTCCACGTTTGGCCGGTCATCTGATGGTAACACTGCCCCTTTTATGTGCTCATACCTAGATTCGGAAACCCTGGGTTGATTGATCAAGTTACTAACCAGCTTCACGTGACCACTTAGCATGACTGTGGTTGTCAGACTCAGAAGCCGGATCATAAAAAGATATTCTGGGTATGTTCAATTTTCTTTGCCATTCAGGCCAGATTTTCTAATCAGCTGGCCAATTTATATATGTTTAAAGATAACATATATGGACACCAATATGAGCTTGGTGTCTTCAGTAGATCAGTTACCTACATAGTTCTGAAACCTAAGAACAGATTGCGTGATATTTTGTTATATTTTACGGTTTCAAGAACCATTTCAGCATGTGTCTCTAGTATTGTGTTCTTTTAACTCTACATTGACTGTCTTTTAAATTATTTTCTTGTACACTCATTTATTGACAGCACATTATAAATACCAAATACTTTCCCCGATAATGAGACATAATCAGACATTTAGTCAAAGTATTTTTTACTGTATGATGTGTACACTACAAAGTGCATGCAGTATATTTTATACTTAACATTCTGAATAATAATTAGATGCAAGAAAATAAATAGAATTTGCATAGTAGAATGCAAATAATGATTTTAGTCAGAATAATAGTGAATAACATTAATATTAATAATATCCGACATGTTCTTATGTCACCAAAATTATTAATTTTATTTTAAAGAGATTCCTTTCCCCACAAAAGTAGCCGGTGGATAATCGCCATGATATGATTTGTTAGTTTCACCATCCTTGTACACCAACTATTAAAACTGACAATCACAGCCCGTTTAAAAATTACTCATAACATGCTTTGAAGCTGCCAAGCTGTCATTTTCTCACAGTTGTGACACCACCTGTCACATAAGTTTACATATCAGCACTAGAACATGTGTTTGATTCTAGTATTTATAGTAAAGACATTTTAACATGTTTTTGTAGGTCAATGTTCCAAAAAAACAGCTTTATTTCTTTAATATGCAGCCAAACAAAGACACGGACCAACCTTGAGACAGTGCTTGAAGCTGTATGAGGAGGTCTTGTCACAGCCGTCTCCATGCTCCTCCCTTCGCTTGCATAAGAGCAGAGCTCTCTCATACAGGAACAGGTGTCTCTGCATTGGTTTGAAGCGAGCTAACTCCTTCATCCGTGTGGGACCTTTCTTGTGGCTGATCCACACACTGAAGGAGCCCTGCATCAACACACGGCCCAGCTCGCAAATGTCACCCTGCATGTGATGGAAGCAGGAATTGATGTGTAAGCCTTCATGTTCTATGATTGTAGCATTTATCCCAAAATAATTAGGATTTCAGAAAGTTTCGGTACTTTACCTCATATCCTGTGATGGCGATCTGATGCATGGAGTCGTTGACTGATTTGAGCAGGTCCAGCATGGCTGTTAGCGCCCCCTGCAGCTCAGAGGTGCCTTCAACATCCGTGCTGTATTTTATTAGCTCCTGAGAATACATACATGCATTAGATTTAGGCAAATAAATGCACGCACAAATGCATGCAAACCCACAGATGAATACAGAGGCTAAGACGCGAAGACTTTAAAGAAACTTGTGGTCACTTCAGTAAAAAGCAACTTGAATTCTCTTTAAGATTCTTGAAGACATCTTACCTCTCATCTGAGAGGTTTTTTTGGTTCTAAATCAGTTACGACTTCCTAAGCCTCTTGGATGAGATTTGAAACCCCTCTAAGAACCTTAAAAGAAAAGTCCAGTTGCTTTTTACTGAAGCTCCAAGGATTAACATGGCCTAGATGACTGAGAATCTGCACAGAGATAATTATATCTGTATGTACATGAGCCCAGTCAGCAGATTATGCGGTAGGAGGTTAATGTATCAGCAGCTGTTTTGTCTGTTTAATTTTTTTATGAGAGTTGTAAAGATACAGAGAGACCTATGAGGAGAAGAAGAAATACATTATAGATATTGCTTGCTGTGTTTGCTGTCTGCAAAATACGGATGTATTTGTCAAGTCCATTTGCTGCTGCTGATCTCCACAGAACACCGCACAAAAAATATGCTGCCTGGCATATACACAGCAGGTATTGACCTTGTATGAATGTGTGTGATATGACTTCGCTTTCTAACCTTGAGCAGCAGCTGATATTTGGTGAGGCGTTGGACGGGTTTTAACAGGTAAGAGTCAAGGCCCAGTTTGTGCTCCAGCTTTTTCTGACACTCCTTCGTGAGAAAGCAAAATTAAACCACAATGAATAATAACGACGAGATTTTTCGATTCTAGGCTGTAATTACTTGATGATCAATTCAGAACTCTAGAGGTACCTGTTTGTATTTGTATGGAACAAGTATGTAATATTTTCAGTAGTTAAAATATTTAAAGCAATCATATATGACACAGTGAAATTAAGAATCATACAAAATTGTTTATGGCATCTGAAATTAAGACAAAGCTGACCTGAAAGAATCCACAGTCAGAGAATTGTCTCCACAGTGCATCAGAGCGCAGCTTGTTCTGACAGTAGCATTCATACATTTGGAAACTTTCTTTCTGGGGAGACAGTGAAGACAAATCTGTTCTAAAAATATGGACATAAACCAATGATTCATTCAATATAAATAAGCTACACATTAATCATCTTACACGCTCCAGAAAACAGGCTCCCACACCCTCAGGAGCCTCTAGGCAGCCTTCCAGGTCCTGGAGGAAAACCCTGGATACCCAAAAAGGTCAGAGGCCAAGAATTAGATCTCATAAGCCAAAAAAATAAAAAAAAGACTGACTGAAACAAATATCTTAACATGCACTCTCCCACACATCAGCCTTGAGGCAATAACTACTACTGTGTATACACAAGATCACTCTACAGACACCTCTCTAGTGACTAATTAATCTCTCTCAGATCTGACTTGTTTCTAACTAGAATCACTTATTTAGAAGTAGATGTGGACCTTAGCAGGAGAGGAGCAACACAAACTAGTGGTTTGCTCATGATATGACTGGAATTATCAGCATTTATGGGTTAAATGAAACAATTCAGTTGGTTGCAAGTGGCTGTAGTTCAATTAAATAACAGCCACAAATGCTTATAGGTCTCATCATCATTATAGCCAAAAAAACAAACAAACATAAAAACCTAACCAACCTTGATTACAGTACATATGAACAAAGTACCAAACGTGAGAGCAAAACTGTATTCAAACTGTTTAACATACAATAACAGTTTGAATACCTTTCAACAGCTCATAAAAAGAAAGAGTGATAAAATGATCATATACCTGCTGATTTTTATATTTTGGGGAGTCCCAAATTTCTTTTTGCTGGTTACACATGGTAACACAGCTATTCCAGGAAAATACATTTATTTTAGTTATTTATTTTGGAACTGTGCCAACTGAGCCTTAAAAATGTGACAGATACTCATTATGAATAGTCATTGCAACAAGTTTAAAAAGAAAGAAAGAAAAAAAAAGCCTCCCAAAACATGGACTGAGTCACCAACAATCAGAGCATTTGACTTTGGTTGAGACCTGTCACTAAAAAACTTGAAATGTTTGAATCTTATTTAAAACTTAAATGATTTCTGTGTCATTATTTATTTAGTTTGTTAAACTTTGCTTTGTTGTGTTTGATTTTCTGTTCTGTCATACAAGATTTAAAGAAATATCACAGGTCAGTTTAAAGAAATATCACAGGTATAGAACACTTGCTGACCTCTCCTGTCTTTTACATGAAAACAAGCATTTTACTTGACCTATGATAGCCCTGTCTGTTGCTCTTTAGCCTGGTTGATCTATTTTATTTTCAAAAAATAAATACATTTAAATTAAAAAAAGAAAGAACGCCCTTACAAGTCTTTAAAACAATGATTTTTGTCATTTTAATCTCAAATGCCACACAGCGGTTTGACAGTGTGCTACACTTAAGGTCCCATATTGTGAAGCTTTTCAACAAATTAGTAAAAGTCTGAGAATGTGTCTTTAAATTTTCAGCTCCAAATATAGTAAAGACATTTAATTTTACTATGACTATATAACCCCTGGTTGTAGCACTGTACTAAGAGGGCTGTGTCAGTGTCTGTAGCTTTAAATAAAGCGAAGCTGCTGCTGACCACGCCCACTTCAGGAAGAAGACTCTCTGTGTCTGCAATTGGTTAACAGTTGACAGCACTGCAGCTGGCATATACATGATTGAGTGTGTGAGACCAGACCTTTGTATCACTTCTTCTGGGAGTGCATAAAGACTCTTGTATTCTAGAAAATAAACAAACCTGGTGAACTATGAGGCAACTGCGTTTTCAGTACCTGGAAGCACTGAGGGAATGAATTTTTTTTTTTTTTTAAAGTTTAAGCTTGACAACTACTGTTTTTTTTTTTTGTTTTTTTTTTTTAAAGTAAAATTCTTACTTGCTTGTAAAGCTGGGAGGCTATTTAGTTGCAGGGGGGCTTGAGAATGGCAAAGTAAACGTCTTTATATCTTAACAGATTTTATTTTACACTTTCAAGTTCAAACCAACCACAAAACACAATAAAAACCTTTAAATCTAACAAGCTATACATTGACTGGTCACTATACATAACAACCATCACCATCCATTTCTGTATGTTTGAACAGGCCTACATGTTATGTGAGTCACTCATCACTTGCCTGCTGTGAAAATTGTAGATCTCAGGCATGTTTCCAAAGAGAATGTCTCTCTTACTGCGAAGTATTGGTGGCAAAAGCCCTGACAGGGCTGGGTTGTCCATTTCAGCCCTGTAGCCCTGTATTTTTACAGCAAAACAATAAAGGATGATTCTTGCAAATAGAATAAAATATGTATTACCAGGAGTAATCTACCAAGAAGGTGTTGGCAACAAACATATGATTAAAACATGAGCGTTTTAGAATTCTTTTTGTGATGTGTGTTTTCTTACCAGCAGCACTGACAGCAGCTCTTCCACGTAGATTCTTTCAGTCTCTATGAGTTCCCTCATCACATGACTGTGACGCCAAACGAATACACACAGACAGAAGTAGAAAGAAAGACGAGAGAGCCAGAGGGCATCATTAGTGCCGAACAAAGAGAATCGCAAAGTAAACAGCATCAAGAGCAGCACTGAGGACAGACAGACAGATGGATGGACGGTTGCCTCACCGCTTCAACAGATCTGGGCTGTCGTCTCCATCCAGACTGTACGACACACAGCTCCGGCTCTCCTGGTAGTCGTGGATCACCTCTATCTGAACACGCCACAGATGGACAGCACTGACTCTTCCATTTGAATTTAAACAAACTGTTAAAATACTGAACAACTTATTGGACCAAACGGGAAGAGTTGGACGAGAAAAGCTGCCAGAATGAGGGGAAATTAATAAATAAAATGAAAAACAAGTGAAATGTTTCTTTATTTCCACTCACTTTTCTAGGGTTGGGGCTCTTTCGGGATGTTTTCTTCCCAGGCAAAGAAATGTCGAACGTGAACTTCAAACCGTCACCTGTAAAAGCCAGATTAACGGCAAGTATAAGTGTAGTTCAAACCCAGGCTATTTCCATACATTCGAAAGACGTGTGCTGAAGAGATCACCCACACTAAATCAAACGCAATCTTTTTTTTTTATGACCGTGTGCGTAGTGTGAACATTACAACCTCAAAGAGATTTCCTTGCCCTACACATGACCCTTTTTTATTTTTTATTTGTTGGCTCGGTAATTTAAAAGAATCCAGTGGTGATGGACATTTCAGGTAATCAGTGATAATAGGTTGCCTCCTCTTAAGGTGTGGCCTGGAACCAGTATGTACAGATCTGAAGCCATGTTTGGCAGAACTGTCAGTGTCCTTTTTGATCCCTGCAGCTGAATCCTTACATGCTGGTCCAAGCTCAACGGAGTGGTTGTATCTTCGCATGTGCCATGTTACATTTGTCAGTGGTGTATGCACGTGTTAGGAGCAAATGCGTGCGTGTGAGCTTGTACCAGATCAAATCAATCAAAGCTTGCCACTTCTCCCTTTATCTCCTCTCTGAAATGGCTGCTGTCCCAAGTATCAAAGGAGCCTCAAAGGGGCTCGTAATCACTCCCACTCTCTTGTTATTACTCTCATTAGTATGACTTCCTCATACAGAGAACAAAACCGTAAAGACATGAATGGACATGGGAGAACACTATTTATCCTTTTACAGTTCTGTATTAAACGAATGAAGACACGTTCAGATAAAACACACACATGCACACATCACATGACACGTACTGTATTAATTGGATGCTACTGTATATGCTCAGCTTTGTGCAGCCTCCCTTGAGACACAGCAGGAGATGAAAAGTTCTTTAATGTATATGAACCACATATGGTTCTCGGGGAGATGTTGTGGCTAATAGAGCAGTCAGGTATTTCCCAGTGGACTGATTATAGCTTCTGCCCTCATTCGGGCTCATTTGTAGCAGCAGTGTGCTCACCCCAAAGGCCATTCAGGAGAAACCTTGGTGCTATACAATGGGAGCCTGTGATGTGTTAATTTAACTCTGGTGCCTAAAGGAAAGAGGGAGAGGGACTGACGCCATAGGGCTTTGGATGAGACCTCATGCTGTGGCTAGAAAACAGTCGTGGGCTGGTATTTCTAGTTGATTTGAGAAAAGCGTAACGTTTATGCTGCAAATCTGTGCACCCTATCTGAAGACAAGAGCTGTTTCATCTATTGTGACAAAGATTGCTGTTTGTGAAGTGTGCATGAATTAGGTGA